ACCTTGGAAAAGGTAGGATAATACATGAGTTCAGCTTTTTTAAAAGCTCAGTTTAAATTACCTGTGGGATATCTAAGTGGCAAAGCTTTGGATGGATATGTATTTCAAAAGGAAATAATGGAAGTGATTGAAGAAATTGAATGAATATCATACAGGAAAAGGATAGCCTAAGAGTAAATGAAGCCAGGTTTGAACCCTAGAAAAGAATCATGAGATGAGAAGGGATAGCAAGGGAAAAGGAGCCCTTGAAGGAGACAGGTTTAGACAAAAGGTGTGAAAACAAACAAACAAACAAACAAACAAACAAAAAACACAACACAATAAAAAACCAAGGAGAGTGCAATGAAACAAAATCCAAAAGAAATAAGACTTTTAAGAAGGAAGGGGTGGACAACAATGCATAATAATATTAAAGAGGAGTCAGTAAGATAATAACTTCAAAAAGTCCCAAAGATTTGGCAATACTAATGATCTTAGTGTGAACAGTTCCAGTGAAATGGTGTGAAGAAGGAGGCATCTTGCAATGAGCTGAAGCATGAATTGTAATAAGTCAACAGAAACTGGTCTTTGTCTACCATTTCAAGAAGTTTATCTGATTAGGGAAGGAGAGAGAAGAGTAGCGAAAGGGGAAGCTAAAAGCCATTTTGACAGGTACTAGAAATACAGAGGAAAAGAAAGTACTGATGGATAAGAGATCCTAGATTCTATAAAAAGGTTGAGATTCAGAGCAGAGTTAAAAGCACTGTGTTTAGAAGAAATTGTGCTTCTTCCACTGTGATAGGTGAGAAAGGTACCTTTGCACTTACATCACCACAAAGAAGCCTGTTCACTCCTTTCAAAATGGAGCCTGAAATAAAGTGGATAGTGGGGATGGAAAGGAGGAGCCAGTTATTAGCAACATACCCAGCAGGTAGACTAGATCTAGTTTCTGATTAGATGTTGGTACTGTAGGGAGTGAGCAGCCAAGGTTGACTCCAGAATACCTGGTCTGGATGACTTGGGAATTCAGGAGGCAAAATATACTTAGTAGAATTATGATGGTTAAAAACAAGTTGTGATTCTGAAGTTCAGCTGGATATGAGAATAGGAATAAAATAGAGGCTGGTGATATTTAGTCCTCTGGGCTGCCAGTCCCATCAGGTAATACACAATGTCTATCTGGCTGACTATCATCAGAAGTCAGCACAGTGCCAGGCAAAGAGTGGGGTGGGGGTGAGGGTCCTGGATACTTGTAGAATGAGGAACACATCTAAAGGAATCTATAAAGAAGCATGAAAGGGAAACTTGAGAGTTTTAAGACAAAAGAAATGACCCATGTAGTTGAAGTCAGCAGAGAGGTCAATTAAGATGAAATAATTGTGTTTGTTAGATTCAGACAGTTCTTAGTAAGGACAATTTCAATTGGATTAAATTAAGGTGGATTTGGAAAGTGAAGAAGTAGAAACAAGGAGTAGACGTCTCTTAAAAGAATTTTGTTAACCAATAGCTTTTAGTGTGAAAGGGGAAGTTTTAAAAGAGTGCAGAATTTGTCCCTGAAAACTTATATCTTATTTTATGAGTTTATTGAATGGGAGATATGAACCTAGGGGAAAATGACTTGTAGTTTAGAAGATATTTAGCAATAAATTTGTATGCCTAGAGAGAAAGTTGCTCCTTTTGAAACTACAATAAGAACTGAAATCAAACAATAGGCAAAAGAAAATATTTGCACCAGTGATAATAGATAAAGGATTATGAATGGTCAGTTAAAAACGGAAATGGAAATGCTAGGAACTGGGGTGAATAAGAAAGTATTTTACATTATTTGATTTATAATTAATAAGTAATCGTGGAATAACATTCAATCTCACTAGCAGTAAAAAGTGTATAGATTAAGGCCACATTGGACAATATTTGTGTCATATTATTGAGAACTTTAAAATATTTAACATCCCAGTGTTCACCAAGGACTCAGTGAAATGAGTAATCTCATATAATCTATGGTAAATTGGTGAAAGCTTTTACAACTATTTGACCATATAGATTATATCAAGTTTCTCAAAATATTTCTAGTTTTAGAGATGTTATCTTTTTTTTTTTTAAGATTTTATTTATTTGACAGAGAGAGATCACAAGTAGGCAGAGAGGCAAGCAGAGAAAGAAAAAGGAGGAAGCAGGCTCCCTGCCAAGCGGAGAGCCTGATGTGGGACTCAATCCCGGGACCCTGAGATCATGACCTGAGTGGAAGGCAGAGGCTTAACCCACTGAGCCACCCAGGTGCCCCTAGAGATGTTATCTTTAATTCCACCTGAAAAACAGATCAATTAAATAATTAGAAACCTATCATGTAACAGGCTGGTACATCATAGTGTATAACCACTAATATTATGTTTAGGATGAGATTTCCATTACATAGAATACATTTGATATATACTAATAGAAAAATAGAATGCCTAGAATACATATAATTTTATGTAAACAAAACCCAAAAAATCTATTAAAGAACTACGAGTAAATGCCTTAAAAATATTATTCAGTGATTATCTTTGGATAGTGGGATTTTTGTGGAATTTCTTTCCTTTTTTTTCTTTTTGACTTTTTAATTTTCTGCATTTTCTAAATTATCTGTAATAAGAATGTATTCATTTTATAAAGAAAAGTTTAACAATTTGTTTAAATAAAATTACTCAAATTTTTGTTTTGAAGAAAAGGAGCAAATGTAGACAGCAGTAACTAGGCTAACAGCAGGAATCAAAGGAAAGACCTTTTTCCTTCTGTTATGATTCCAGAAATTCATGAAGCAAGACTCAGAAAAGTAGGAAAAGACAGGAAGTAAAGCGGTTTGAGTTCTGCAGGTAAAATGGTGCCTCTTCTACAACTGAAAGATTTTACTGGACAGCCTGAGTAATGACAAGCACCCATTAAGTAATCCAAATTGCCATTATTCTTCCTATGTGAGATGCTAAAAACAGAACTTCTTCTACAAGTTTAAAAGAGTTAATCTTATTTTCCTCTTCTCAAAGACAGGAGTAATCCTGAAATGGTTTAGCCAAAATGGAATCAATTTCTTCAGTATGTAAATTACAGTATCTTCAAGTACATCCAGCCAACTTCACCAATGTGCTTGTTCTGTTATTACACTTGAGCACACGCCAATCTACCAATCTATGCCTTAGGGTGAAAATGGTTAATATGAACTGGATCCTTACAGTGAAATCTCTCATCTTTACTCAGGGATTGTTTTTTAGAACCTTAGCTGGAACTCTGATGTAAAACCACTTAAGGTTTACGGAGTGTTATCAGAGAGTAAAATCGTTACAAAAGGATTCTCTCCTTATCAAGAGTAGTTAAGTTTCTAGCTATAGGCTCAGTTGATTATCAGTGGCCACTCAGTTTTTTCTGTCACGGCACTTATGGGTCCAACATTTGGTCTGGTCAACCAAGATGGGGGCGGGGGGGTAAAAGGCTGGGACTTCACCAGGGAAAAGACTTAATGCTGTGCAGTAATGGGAAGTGACAATGCCAAAGTTTCCCTCTGTTGGATTCTCTTATAGTTTCTGTATACCTATATGGCCACTTATCAGAATGGTGTCTGCTCATGGATTCAATGGTCAGCCTTTGCATATGAAGTAATTGTTCCTTCAATATAGCAGGTATGGAGGGATTGGCTTAAGCTTAGGATACAAAGGATATGGCCATCTTAGAAACATAAGGTGGCATGAGAAGCAACAGCAAGTTAACTTTGCTAAGTAACACGGAGTCTAGAGAAAAAACATGCTGATTTTTATCTTTTCTAAGAATTGGCTACAATATCTCTAAACTAGAGTCATTTTACTAATTTCAGCAACAATTTTTAAGGAAAAAATCTACATGGTAGAGGTAGCACCCCTGGCATGTTCAGAATGACAAATGCTAACCTTGTACGTATATGTATGACTGCGTGTGGCACATGCACCAAGCATTCGAAGCAGGCCTTGCACCATACTTCATTTGTTTTCCAAACAACTTGAAGGTATGCGGTGTACAAAGATCTATAGTGAAAGAATTAATAAATTAACATATAAAATATTAGGTCTTAAATTATAGGATTCTTGTTAGTTTGATTACCATGCATTAGTTTTCAAGAGGGGCCTATCTCTGGTATACTACCAGTCAATCCTACCAAGCTAATAAGTTTCTAAACACGAAAATGCCTCCAAATGAGATCTAGTCCATGAAGGAAGGCTCTAAAACAGCAGGTTTTTGGTGTAATTCTGAAAAGCATGGCATTGTCATAGCAGAACATCTACAGATTTTTTTTAAATGACACAAATGTATAAATTTTACATATAAATACAAGGGTTGGATTTTTAATTTTCTTTTTTCTTTTTCTTTTTCTTTACTCTTATATAGTTGTTACCTTATATTCTTACCTTATATAATTTCTCCCCTTGCATATTTTCCATATCCATTTATATTATGCTTCCTTACCTCCTTTCTTAAATGGCTACTCTGGCATAAGCACAGGTTCCCTAAACTTTATATAATTATATTCCTCGCTTAAAATATTGTATTAGCTTACACAAACCAAGCTTAGTTTTATATACAAAATTAAAACTCTGTTTCAAATACCCTCAATAAAATTTATGAATTCTATATACATACAAGGTTAGTGCAAGAACTAGACTTTAAAATAAGCCTCAAAAGACATCATAGTGGACAGATATTCTTTTTATACTAGAATTTTACTATCTACCAAGAATAATTCTTTGAATTTTTAATTTAAAAGCTAAAAAAAAAGCAAGTCCTGAAAGATGTTGGCTACATTGAACCATTGTCTTTATTTTTAAAAATAGGTGATTTTGAAACTCAAGCAGGAAAATTACTTAATCTGTAAGTGACAGACATTTTTCTTACAGATGATTATGCTCCCATGAATTAGTTTGTTTTTCTTTTGATGAAATTGTTTGCCTAGACTGATCTACTTAGCCAAAATTTGATCTCTTTTAAATAACAAATAGAATTTCCATATTTTTCCCCAGGTAAGAAAGAAGAACTTATCTACAAGGATGCCTCTCCGAATGAAAAATTAGAAAGGAGTAAAGAATACACATACCAATGGCTTCACACACAGGTTGGGATTCATGAAACAACTAATTCGAGAAATATGAAATGGTGAGGTCATTTCCTTTAAATTAGATTTTTGTATTGCAAACATACCTTGAAAAATGAAACCTAGGTTAATTGTGCTAAAACAAACATGACTTTATAGCCAAAGGCCAATACACCCATTGCCAGGTTATAAAAGGCCTCTTCTTTGGAATAGATTTAATCACTCTTTATATTTTTCACCTTAAAATGTTTCAGAGTTCTGTTTCTGTAATGCTTAAAACCAACAGATGAAACACACAAATGATTCTATTTTATAAAGTAAAATGTGTGGTATCAATAAACTGTTTATAAATATAGTATGTATGGGAGGTTATATTTTGTTTTGTGTCATTTCTATCATTTACATTTGACAGTTAAATTTATAATTCAACACTGTGCTTCCACTTTACTAGTCATGTAACTAATTTCCAGTGATGTCTCCATGCTTCAGTTTCCACTCCTTTATAGTGAGGTGGTAGTATCTTATCTATCTCACAAGGTAGAGGTACGATCACAAGGTTGAGGATGTCAAATGTTTATATCCCTTAGAAACAAACAAGGAAACATGAACATAATAGGTAATCAATTAATTTTTGTTACATTAATGTACGTATTAGTTTGCTACCACATAACAAAATACCATAGACTGTGTGGCTTAAATAACAGAGTTTTATTTTCTCACAGTTTTGGAGGGTATAAGTTCAAGATGGAGTTAGCAAGTTTGGTTCTTTGGAGGTCTGTCTTCATGGTTTGCAGAGGGCCACCTTCTCACTGTGCCCTCACACAATCATCCTTCCATCTCTGTTTTCTATGTTTTAATCTCCTCTTCTTATAAGGACACTAGTTATATTGGATTAGAGCCTACCCATATGACCTTATTTTACTTTAATTATCTCTTTTATGGCTCTATCTCCAAATACATCACATTATGAGGTATTGAGAGTTAGGACTTTAGCATATCAATTCTGACGAAACAAAATTCAGCCCACAGCAATGTGGTATAATGCATAATGCTAAAAATGCATTAAAGCTAAAAATCAGCATAATGTGGTATAATATATATGCATAACCACTGAACCAAAGTTTTAGGGAAATAAAAGTCTAGAAATAATAATATTTTTGGCATAATTTTTCAAAACTTTCATTTTATCTATATATATCCATAAAATAATAAAAAATAAAAATAAAGTAAGAAAATAAAGAAGTGCTATTATAAATACTAACTAAATATATAAATCAATATTGAATCTAAATGTAGATAATGCTTTGGAATGTTTCCAGGCATTCTATAGAATATAATCTCCAATACATATGATATAATGTAATAACTATTTAAACGACTAACAAAATACAACAATTATGAAGGTTAAAACTTAATTTAGAAGCAGGTTAAATATGTAAAAAATGAAATTTCTTTTTATAATATATATATAAATTGAGACTTTCATATGTGGTCAATTCCATCCATGTAATTCCTTTAAAAATATGGAAAAGGAAGTGAAGACTTGAAGGTGAAATTAAAACAACATTTTATAATCTGGATTATTTTGTATTATTTAATTGTGAGAAAAGAAAGTAGGAGTAAAGCAATCAGCATTTGGGAACTTTTATTTTACTAAGTACTCCAATTAATACAAGCACAATTTCTTTTATGTTGGTATAAATCATTTTAGTGTAATTCATAAGATGATATCCTTAGAACTATAAACAAATGAAAACATGGAAATTGGTATATATCTTTGCCTATACTTTAGTATATTTATTTTATATATTTAATAAAACTATTACTTCCATTTTATAGATTACTAATTTCTTTTTTTTTTTTCTTTTTTTTTTTTTTTTTTTTTTTTTTTTTTTTTTTTTTTAGATTACTAATTTCTCCCAAACTTTTTGGTGGGCATTTCTTTCATATTCTTCTTCTACATTTATATAATAATATAATCTTTGTTTTTCTCACTCTGCAGCAATCATTTCTTGCCTGAGTTAGATCCAGATGTACTTAATGGTGGAAGAGTTCAGCTTGTGGTAAGAAATATGCTTAAAGTTACAGAAAAATGTTGTATATGGTCATCCTCAGTAACTGACACTTTAAAATATGTCCATAATTAGTGTAAATTATGAAAATATCACAACTCAATCTTTTTGGGGTAATCTCAAAATACTATACATTAAAATAATAACCTGTAATAATAACATGTTTTCTTGATTTGTCATATAACTTTAAAATCTGCTGTTACTTTAAAATATTGATTCTATATGGTAGATTTAAAAATATTAACTTGCTACCATATTTAAAATAACATGACTCTGAACAGGAATTGCATAATGAACTTATTTACTTGAATATTTTAAGAGTAGGATACTGAGAGAAATACACTCTCACAACTTAGAAAATCAAAGCAGATAAAAATTAACAATTGTAAACTCAACCACTCTAAGTAATAAAGTGTAAATTACTGAAGCTTTAGGAACAACCAAGTTCTAAACGTGGTGACCAGAATGTAAAACTCTAGACAATATAACTGTATGTATATTGTTAAAGTCAATTGTACTATAGGCTATTAGAAGGAAGACTATGTTAACAGAAGAAGAATGGCCAGTGTGGAGTCTAGAGAAATAGAGCCCACAAAACAAGTGTGTTTCTGGAAATTTCCAGAGAAGATCTAACCAATGATAGAAGTGTACGGCCTCCTTAGCAGTTGAAAATGGATGCCTCAGGTGACCCTAACTTTATGACACCTTCCCTTTATATCAACCAATTAATACTCCTTGCTCAGATTCTACGTTCACCAAGAAACTGATTTTAATTTAGCTTGCCAAGTAGAATTTAGCATAAAAAGATAATAATACACTTTCTAATACATCTAGTATGATGGTACCCAGAGCAGTTATATTCATAATTCTCATGAACAATTCATTCAAGGAATTTTCCTGAAAAGGAGCAAAATTAGGGCAATAGCTAAAATTAATGTGTTTATAAAAATATTTGTAGAACCTATGCACAAGTTTGAAATAATCATTAAACAAATATTTCCTTGCATTTTAATACAGGCTCATCTGGCAGAGTGGCATGTAGATTGCCCTAGGAAAATTGATATTTCAAGCAATGAACACCATGCATATTACTAACAATTGCACACAGAGTATTGAGTTGTCACTTTGGAGCAAGAATGGGGAATATAAAAGTCCCAAGGAATGCCAGGATAAAGAAACTGATATTAACATTGAAATGATTATACTTCTAAAAATGAATGCAAACAGACTGGGTAGATTTCTAATTGAAGTGGTTCTATGAGAGGGGTGCCTGGGTGGCTCAGTTGGTTAAGCATCCTGCTTGTGCTCTCAGCTCAGGCCTTGATCTCAGGTGATGAGTTCAAGCCCCACAATGGGCTCTATGCTGGCCATGGAGCCTACTTAAAAAAAAAAAAAAGATGGTTCTATGAGATTAATGCTTTGCCATTAATCTCCTTCTTCTGTATCCCATTGTATTATACTATATTCAAATATATGACAATGACATAGCAATGATAAATGCTTTTTTGATATTGAAGAGATATAGGTGAATACAAAAACAAAGTAAATGATAGTAGAACAGAAATAAGTTTTTTGTTTGTTTCTATTTTCATGTAAATGGAGGTAGGAGAAGGGATTAAAGACTTATGTCAAAAGGATACTGGACTAATTGAATGCCCAAAATAGATATCTTGCAGAGTCGTGGGAATGTGTTGGGAAACTGGAGGCAGATAATTGCACATTTGGGACCAGGCCATAACTAAAAGTAAAATTAAAGAAAAAAATCTGCAACTGCTGCCACTTTTCCTCCAAGACATAAGGAAAACACCCATAATAAAAGGATAGAAAATCATGAAACAAAAATGATCAAATTTTAATTAAAACAATTATGAATATGTTAATAAGCCTACTAAAAATTCTATCTAGGGTGCCTGGGTGGCTCAGTTGGTTGAGCGACTGCCTTCAGCTCAGGTCATGATCCCGGACTTCCAGGATCGAGTCTTCATTGGGCTCCCAGCTCCTTGGGGAGTCTGTTTCTCCCTCTGACCTTCTCCTCTCTCATGCTCTCTCTCACTCATTCTCTTTCAAATAAATACATAAAATCTTAAAAAAAATTCTATCTATATAAAATATTACCATTGAAATAAACTATGGACTGGACATCATAAAAGAGAGACACAGTGAATTGAAAGATTATCTATAAAGGAATAATAATTATATTGACAGCTGACATTATAGCAGAAACAATGCATACCAAAAAAGAGTGGAGTCACTTCTTAATAACAGAGATAGATATAAATATTATCCAGAATACTCTCCAGTAACCTTCAAGAGTAAGAATAAGATATAATAAAACATTCAAATTCTGGGTTTTAAAGAAGCTAATAAATAACATCTCTGTCTAAGATCAAAGTATTTTGTGTGGCAGACAGGAGTAAGAAAAATGAAAATAAGATATCATTTTACTTATTTCCAAATATATTATCAGAAGACATGCCACAGAGCCATATAATTGTATTGCTGATTAACTTTATCACCCAAAACTCCAGGATTTTTCTGTAGAAGACAGTCCTGGTTCAGGTTCTCCAGGAAACATATTCTGAGATTCTTGTACTTGAGTGCAGAACATTTATTGGAGAAGGCATTCAGAAACAACTCCTTTGAGGGGTGAAAGAAGCATAATTGAGCAGAGGGAAAAGGTAAAATTCAATAGAGTTGCAGGAGAGGAAGTGAGCTCCAGTGGTGTGAAGGCCCTTCTAAGCTGTCCCAGCTTGAGGCAAGAGGATCGGGCTCCTATTCTCTTGCATCTCCTCAGGAGAGGGTATGGTTTGGGCAAGACAGCCATCTTTAGCTAAGGACAGTTTTCAGAGAGATAATTCAGCTAAGAGCCATACTTTTCAGCCGCTGGGAGAATCTGACTCAGTTGTTTAAAGTGATCTGAGTGGCATATGATAATATCCACAATATTCATTAAGTTTATTGTTCATAGATACAACTTAGCATATAAAATGTGTTAACTGTCTCCAAATAAATCTATAAAGTAAAACTAATTTGAACCAAAATTATAGCTTCTTTTTTAGGAAACTGAAAAATCTCATTGTAAAATGTGTATTGATGAATAAGAACACAATATTATATAAGTCAACTTTGAAAAAGAAGAGCCAACTTGAATCATAAGATATAAAGACAGTATAAAACTAAACTTTGTGGTACAGATAAATAGACCAATGGATATTAATAGTTAGTTTGGAAATAGACCTGTGACTATATTGGAATATGGTATATAACAAAGGTGGGAAAGGTCAAATTGGTAAATAGAATTCAGCAAACTCGTGTTGAAAAGCAGGGCTGTATATAACCCATACACACTATAATAATCAAATGGAATTTAAAAGATTTGGAGACTCAAGTGTGAAAAGTAAAGTTATAAAATTGATCAAATAAAATAATTGAGAATATATTTGCAAATTCACAGTAAAGAAATACTCTCTTAAAAGATACAAGTTATATTGCAAAATTTTTTTGATTGACTTGACTGTTTTAAATTAGATATTACTTCCTATGAAGAATTTTATAGAAAAGGTTAACAGATGGATTACAGACATGAACAAATTATTTTCAGTGCCTAAAGCTAACAATAGCTTAAAATCAGGATATAGAAACAATTTCTGCAAATAAATAATATAAAGTCAGGTAACCTAATGAAAAAGAAATATAAATACAATAGAAAAAACATACATAGACAGTTTACAGGGTTTATGATTAATGCATAAGTGAATGTAAAGAGATGCTCAGTTATATGACCAGAGAAATAAAAATTAAAACTAAGAAGTTGTGTGACTATCCTCATCAGAACGGAAAAAATCAGAAAACTGGGTAATGCAAAGTGCTATCAATAATGTGGAAACACTGATGTATGGCCAAAGTAAAAGCTGGTACAGTCATTATGGAAAGAAATGTGTCATAATTAATTAAAAGAGGACTTTGTACACCCTATTATGTATTAGCAACAAACTTTAATTAAAAATATTCTATTCACTTCAATGTAAAAAAATTAAAATATTTAAGGATTATGTGAACATTAAGTTGTGCAAGGCTCCTATAATGATAACTATCAAATATTGCTTTAAAAAAATCAAAGAGGGGTTCCCAGGTGGTTCAGTCCTTAAGCAAATGCCTTCGGCTCAGGTCATGATTCCAGGGTTCTGGGATCTAGCCCCTCATCTGAGCTCCCTGCTCAGCGGGAAGACTGCTTCTCCCTCTCCCATTCTCTCTGCTTGTGTTCGCTCTCTTCCTGTGTGTCTCTCTGTCAAACAAATAAATAAAATCTTTAAAAAAATTAAAATTAGAAAAATAAATAAATCAAAGAGATATATCATACTCATGAGTATAAAGACTCAAATTGTAAGATGCCAGTTCTCAATGATCTATAAATTCAATAGACCCTTAGAAAGCATTTTAGCAGAAATGGACAAATTTTATTTTATTTTATTTTATTTTAAAGATTTTATTTATTTATTTGACAGGCAGAGATCACAAGTAGGGAGAGAGGCAGAAAGAGAGAGAGAGGGGAAGCAGGCTCTCCGCTGAGCAGAGAGCCCGATGTGGGGCTCGATCCCAGGTCCCTGGGATCATGACCTGAGTCCGAAGGCAGAGGCTTTAACCCACTGAGCCACCCAGGCATTTTAAAATGTGTATGGAAATGCAAAAGATCTAGAATAGTCAATATAATCTTGAAAAAAACGACTCACACTACCTGATCTCAAGATTTACTATAAAGCCCCAGTCAGTAACCAAAACTATATGTTATGTGCAAAAAGATAGAAAAATGAATTAACGGAACATAATAGAGAGTACAGAAAATACCACACTTATAAGGTTAGGTCATTCTCCTTAAAGGTACTAAAACAAAAGAGGAAAAGAATAATTTTTTTTCTTAACAAATAGTGCTGGGCAACTGTATACATGGAAAAAAGTGAATCTTGATTCCTACGTTGCATCCTAAAAATGAATTTGAGATGAATTATGGGCCTAAATGTAACTGCTAAAATTCTAAACTTTCTCCAAGAAAAGATATTTTCAAAAACCTGGGGAAGGCAAAGATTTTTTTAAATAGAACGCAAAAAAGCATAAATCAAAAAAGGTAAATTGTACTTCAGATTTAAAGTAATTGTACTTAGTCATAATTCAGAAAATAAAAAGAAATGAAAGTCAAATAACATCCTGGGGGAAAAATTTGTATTTTCTTTTTCTCCTCTTTCTCTCTCTCTCTCTCTCTCTCCCTCCCTCCCTCTCTCTGTCCTCCACAGCCCTCTGCATACAAACATCTTCCCCACATATACTCATCTAATAAAGGTCTTGTATCCAGAATATGTAGAAAAAACTCCCACAAATCAACAATGTAAAGACAAATACTTCAAGTTATTTAAAAATGATGAAGCTTTGAGAGACTTCACAAAGGAAGATAATTGAATGGTTAATAAGCACACTAATTTAAATTAAAACAAAAATGAAACACTACTACACAACACTAGAACTGTTAATAGTTAAAAGCCAGAAAGCACAAATGTGGGCAAAGATATGGAATAACTAGAATTCTCATGCATTACTGGTGTAGTGAAAAATGATAAAACCATTTAGGAAAATAGGCACTTTATAAAGTTATAGATACTCCTACTCTATGACCCATTAATTCTACTCCTAGATGTTTACTGAAAGGAAATGAAAACACATGTCTTCATAAAAATCTATATGAAAATTACATAGCAGTTCTATTGATAAAAACAAAAAAATGCAAACAACATAAATGTTTATCAACAGCAGAATGGATAAACTGTAGTATATTCTTACAATGGCATACTTACTCAGAAATGGAAAGAAATGAACTCCCGCTACATACAGCAACTTAAGTGAATATCAAAAACAATAGAGTGAGTGAAAATACTGTATGATTGGATTTATGTTAAGTTCAAGAGAGAAAAAACTAACTTCTCTGTGGTAAAAGAAATCAGAACAGTTGTTGCTTCTGAGGATAAATTACTGGAAAGAGGTACAAAGGAATCACTTGCTAGTTATATTAGGCTGGGGTCACTGGAGAAACAGAATCAGCGGGATATCTATAACTGTATTTATCTATATCTAATATATAAAATCTTATACAAAATCTCTTTGTATATGTAAACAGAATTTATAATAGCCAGTGCAACCTTGAAAAACAACAAAGAAGAGTCATATTACCTGATTTCAAGATGTTCAGACTTGGCCTGAAACTTACACCATTGGCCCTTTGGTCTATCTATCTATAGAATTGAGAGAGAGAGAGAGAGAGTGGGGGGGGGAGAGGGAGAGATGTATATACATATATATAAAGAGATTTTATAGATAGATTTATGTATTTATTATAAGAAATTATGTACTATTTATTATAAGGAATTGGCTCATTTGATTATGGAGGCTAAGAAGTCCCATGATTTGTAAGCTGGAGACCCAGGAGATCCTGGAGATCCTGGAGCTACCCTGGTGGTGTAGCTCCAGTCTGACTTGAAGGCCTGAGAACCAGGAGAACCAATGGTTTAGGTTCTAGTCTAAGTCTAAATGCCTGATAATCAAGACAGCTGATAGCGTAAGATCCAGTCCAGCTCTGAAGACCTGAAAACCAGAAGTGCCGATTGCGTATGTTCCAGTCTTAAAACAGAAGACCTATGTTCCAGCTTCATGTGTCAAGCAGAGACGGTGAATTCTCCCTTCCTCCATTTTTGTTCTATTTAGGCCCTCAGTGGGTTAGATGATGCCTGAGAGGGCAATCTGGTATACTTAGTTTGCAGATTCACATGCTAATTTCATCAGAAACACCCTAGAAAACACACCCAGAAATAATGTTTAACCAAATATCTCCGTATCCTGTGGCCCAATCAAGTCAACACAGAAAATTAATCATCACAGTAGCCATCTGTAAAAAATCTAAATTGGATAGTGAAATTAGAAAATGAACAAAATGAACAAAGAGACTATCCATATAGAAATAAGCATATGAAAAGATGTTAAATATTATGAATCACTAGGAAAATTGTTAATGCCACGATATAATATCACTATACACCTATTAGAGTGATTAAAATAAAATACTGTACCAAGTGCTGACAAATATACATTTGCTGAGAATGGTACAGCCACTTGAAAAAAACCCGTCAATTTCTTATAAAGTTAAATATACACTTATATGACTCAACAATTCGGCTCTTGGCCATTTTTCTTAGAGAAATAAACTTAGGTTCACTCACAAACCTGCACACAAATGTTCACAGTAGTTTTATTGATTTTCAAACCTTGAGTCTTGTAGTTAAAGCCTCTTTAGCTAGCAGGAGGGTCCCTGTGTTGTTACCTTGTTTTTCATTGTTTTGTAACTGATCTCACCAAAACTGTAGTATCACTTTGTTATATCCCCCTTATTCTTGACTGGCTCTTATTAAGTCTTAGTATTGATGGAGCTATTGTAATAGAAATAATAGATATGTGCTTTTGTACACTAATTGAAATAAAGTTCAGAAAGAAAATGTATATTTTTCATACCAATCACAAGTATAAAGTGGAAGCCAACTGTTTTTTATTTCATTTTTAAAAGTTTTCTACTGAGGTCTTTTGACAATACAATTGTATCGCTTAGCCGGGTACATCAAAAAGTGACTGACAAACAAACAAACAAACAAACGACTGACATAAAATGGTTTCTATTCTGAATTCAGCAATAGCCAACTTGCTTACTTAACAATGAGAAGTCCATGCTTGTTACAGTGAGAAGAATTTGGGAAGGGGAACGTAAAGGAGAAGGGCAAAGATCTGAATTTGAAAAAGAATGATTTTTAGATTCTGTTTTCATGGGATTTTGTAGCCCATCATATGGGGATAGCTTTTTAAGTACAGTGATGGTTTTATGGCTTTATTTTGCCCTACTTAAATTCTCCTCACATCGAACATTAGGACAGTGTTTTCTCACAGGATTTCAAGCATCCTGTGGTTTGGGTTAAATCCCAGTTATTTTGAGGCTGCTTCGTTTTCCATCATGACATTTTCCCTTACTTCAGGGTTGAATCCTGATAAATTGGTACTTAATGATATTAAACATTAAGTAAAATAATATTTTATAAGCAAGAAGTGATTCTTCAACTGTTAAGTTCAGTCCCAGGTAGTTCAAATAGTAATTTTAGATGTGATCAATTATTTAATCCTATGTTCTTAAAATAATATATCTTGAATTTTCTTTATATTTATAATCACCCTTAAATTACACTTAATGTATAATATTTTATATTAAAAATGGTTTTAATGAGAAGGTAGAGATCTTTTGTGACTTTGTAGTATATAAACATGAGATGAAAGGCCCTTTGAGGAATATTGTTGAGAAGACTAATACTTGTCACTGGTAAAATATAAATTTTGCAAAAAATAATCCAATATGACATTTCTAACATTCAATTAAGAGTTAAATAATATTTTTGGTAAATAAATGATGTTAAGCTGTTTAAAGTTTCACCAATTGCCTTTAAGATTGATTTTCATCAAAATTGCTGTACTAAAAGATTTTCTTTTGTTGTACACACTCAAATCGCAAACCTCAATTTTAAAATCGGCTCTTATTTGCAAAAAATGCTTTGACATAGTGCATTTGTTCTGCCTGGGCAGCACTAAAGGATTGTGGTATCATTTTGAAGAAGGTTGTTTGACAGAGCCTGTTTGTTTATTTGGGGTAATGTGAGCTGCATTCAGAAAATGCCATATTTTGTTTCATGATTGTATACATTCTCTCCCATTGCTCCCAGGCAAGACTTGTAAGCAGAGAAGACACGGATTTAGACCTTTTTTCCATGACCAGTGGAAGTGCTTTGTCTGTGAAGAGAGAGAAAAAAAATCAGGCACACAGACACTCAGCGGGATCTTCAAGTAAGTTGTGGTTTCCTTCAGAATTAATTTAGAAATCACAAACGAATTGATGGAACATAATGCCAACAGCATTCTTTTATAGATAAGGGGTAGGATGCCAGCAACCAGAACTGCCTCAAAGTGTGTGTTTGAATTTTTTTTCTTTAAATGTCTTCTTTTGATATAAACCAAATTAAATTATTTGTAAAACTAACAGCATCAATTTTTTAAAATTATATTCTGTAACTCAGTGTTCTACTCTCTTACCAGCCATGAATTGTATTGAATCATATGATCATTTAATTCTAAAGGAACTTTTTGGCTAATGTAAATTGGATTGGATTTATATATCAAACTAGTGTATTTTGGCCTTTTTTCATCGATTTAATTGTAGGTAACCTTAACTTTTAAAGGAAACTTTTAAAATAGCAGATTTTAGACACGAATACTACACTGTCAAAACCCTGCTTTAAATACTATTTCTGCTGAGTAGATGGCAGTTTATATTTATTAATGATGACTTTTTACACTTGTCAACTTGTCACACACATCTATTATCTTTAATATGATTTCAGTAAGAATTGCATTGCGGTTATTAACTCTGAAAAAAAATAAACATTTGAAAATACTTGTATCTTGTGGTAATAGAGTCTAATTTTTTCAAACTCTTCATATACCCTAGAGGTTTTGAAATATCTGCTAAAATGTTTTGGTATATTAGTATAAAAGATGTTTTATTTGCTATCATATTTTTTTTTAACTTTCTCCAAAGTATAGTGAACCTCAAAAGTCCACATATTAACTTACACTTTGCTATAAGTATTAAGGTTTTTTTTGAAAAAATGTTATTACTCATTTACTTTTTTTTTTTTTTTTTTGAGATTCTATTTATTTATTTGACAGAGAGAGAGAGACAGAGCACAACCAGGGGCAGGGGCCAGGAGAGGGAGAAGCAGGCTCCCCACTGAGCAGGGAGCCTGAGGTGGGGCTTGATCCTAGGACCCTGGGATCATGACCCAAGCCAAAGGCAGACATTTAACCAATTGAGCCACCCAGACACCCCACAAAGTTAATACTTGATTCAGTGTGAGAAATTCAAATTATCCGAATTGGTGCTCTACAGGTAAATGAAAACTTAAAAATGATTGTCTTTCACTTTTTATCCAGACATGTGGCATTATTAGAGTCTAGTCATTTAAATCCATTAATATATACAAGGTGATTTTGATAAATTTTAATTTGGTCTTGAAATAATGATTTTAATATATCTAATTTAAAAATATTTCCAAGCTTCAAAGTTCTTAGAATGTTTGAATTTTCTTTACTTGATTATAGAATCTGATCACAAAAGTTTGTTCTAGTCAATATGGTTAAGAAAGAAACATTTTATGTTTTAGGTTTATTCACTAATTATTGATCTAATATAAAATTTTTGCATTATTAATATAATTTGTTAATTATATCAACTTTCAAAATATATATTACATTCAGAAGTAATCAAACTGTGTTACGCATAATAATGAATAATGTTATTTCCATTTTAAGAATTATATATTATGAACTCATATCATTTTGGAGCAGTGTACAAAACAAAGGACTTGCCTTGTCACATTACAGAATATCAAAGTTTCTATATATAATGTATCATCTGACTATTAAAATATCAATAGCTCAATAAATCAGCAACCATGCTAAAATGTACAAGCTTTATCTTTCACTTACGTGACATCAAATTATAGATTTTAGAGAATACAAGATTATATGGAGTTAATTTTTTAAATAGTCTTATTTTCTTTTTAAATTTTAATTCTAGTATAGTTACCATACAGTTTTATGTTAGTTTCAGACATACAATGTAGTGATTCAACAACACATTCTCTAAGGAACTGTAATATGGCTATCCTCACTGATTCCAACTGGTTGTCACTAAATGACATTATAACAAACACTACTAATCATTAAATCTGCTCACTAAGTGACATTTTAAGATAAACCATTTTAGAAAAATAGAGTTTTTATCCAATAAAAGAATGATTATGAATAAAATACCACTTACTGAATTATTATAGTTACTAGTTTATCACCACATCTATATAATATAATGGTAAAGTGTGGGCCCTGACATCAGTTTGTTTGAACTTGCACCATGACAATTTCCTCATCCTTAAAACAGGAATGCTAAGACAAGTACTATACCTACCTTGAGGAGTTGTTGTTGGGTTAAAATGTTGAGCATTTAAAACAATATCTGGCACAAAACAGTACTTAAAAGTCTTTATAATTGCCACTTACACACAGACATAAAGAAGAATAATTTGAAGTAAGATATTAAAGTCACTAGTATCGCAGTGCATGGCCTAACTAGCTCACCTTATAAGAAACCTACTCTTAATAGTTACTTAACTAAAGAACTTTGGGGAGCCTATTATCCACAGAAAACTTTAACCATCAATGTCCTTGGTTCCTAGGCCTCCATGGCCCTGGGCCAACCCTGTACAGCTTTGGTATTTTGAAAGCTCTTTTTCCTCCAGCTTTTTCTCTCTCTTAAAAAATTTGTCACCTTATTAAAACTAAAGTATTTCTTTTAGCTTTCCAAGCCAAATCTAGAGAGTAGTTTATGGACTGCAGCCATAAAACTCTTTTGACCTTTGAACTTTTCTAGATATTTCTCTTTTTCTACTGTTATAATATTTGTATCAGGTATTCTGTAGAATCAGATAAAGTCAGGTTTAAACTCTCAGTTCCTTTATCACACATAAGTTGTGTGACCTTAACTCTAAGAACAAGTTAACTCGGGAAAATGGATAATAATGTCTATCTCATTGAGTTTGGGTGAGGAAGAAATGAGTAAAAATATAAAGTATGTGATATATTGCCTAGAATATAATAAGTACTTGTTTATATTATTTTTGTTGTATGTTTTATGTTGCTGTTGCATAATTTTAAATAACTTTAAAGTAGAATTGTCTGCCTTCTCTGTGTGTCAGATAACACCAGAACAGCATACTTTCAGCATCACTCCAGTCATCTCAAGCAAAACTGTCTTAGAGAACTTCCTAAGTTCTCTTCCTTTTCTTTTAGGTCTTTCTCCTTTCTTATAAAAGGCCAAGACAGTCTTCTGCTATATGGCATTCTAATCTAAAAGTTAGAAGAGGTCACATTCTTATTTTTAAAATACCATTTACAAAATGAGTATGCAAATAAGTTCCTCATTTAGACAATATTTAGACAAAATATTTGATTTCCTTAAATGACTTTGGTTTTCTCAACTAATTTTTCCATTTGATACTTAAAGGATGCATAATAATAATAATAATAATAATAATAATAATAATTTTACTGCTATAACAATTTATAGCTTTACACATTTATTTTAATGAGCTTTTCTTATTTATACTAATTATTTTTCTTTGACAGCTAATATAAATAAGACTCAGAGTTTATTTACTCTGCCTTTGGCCCAAAAAATTTAGCAAGGAAAAGCCACAACTTGAACCTATGTTTTCTTATTCCAAAGCCAGTGCTATCTTTCTTCCATGCACTAACATATAATAGCTTAACTGTAACAATAGAACATAATTAATGTAGTTCTTACACATTTACTAAATGATCACTGCTCACTATATACCTAGTTTAGGTTCCCGGTTGCCTCCTCCCAATAATTTCTGCATGTTCTAGGACGTAATCCATTTCCAGAGTTAGCTAGGGATTGAGAATCTACAGTACTCCTGTAATTGTGCATAATTAGCCCAAAGTCAATTTTTTCTTTAAGTATATCTAAATTCTCTTGAATATAATGCCTTTTAATATGGTACTTAGTTTTCTGAGTATGGAAAAATGTATTTATTTTACAAGCGAAGCAGCTAATGTAGTTAAAGTGCATGAGAAAGGCTTCTCAGAGGAAAAATATTTGATTTGTACCTGGAATGACATTTGGGATGTAAGTAAGGAAAGAAGTAGAAGAAAGCCATCTTAACAAAAGCAATGGATAAAATATGAATATATGTTTGTTGAACATTGAATAGTATGTCTGGACCAGAGCTTGTATACACTGAAGTAACGCAAACTAAGATTTAATTAAAGATGAAACCTAGTTTCAGGTAAGCTTGAAAGTAAAGTAGAATTTTGAAGGGCTTGTTCCCTTGCGGGGACGAAAATCTCTCTCAGTAGTACTAATCAGACTTCCTTTAAGATTTTATTGACCACAGCAGTATCATACTGATTTTTTTATGTTTATTGTTTATTCTCCTTCTCCCCTGCTAGCATGTGTGTTCCCGGAGGGCAGGGAATTTAATGTAGAATCCTAGGTACCTAGAACAGCTCCCTGGCATGCAAGCCCTGTAATATGTATGTAATGAATGAATTAATGGATGGATGACTGACTGACTGAATGAATGAATGAATACGCTTCACTGTGAAGCAGGAAATGCCAGATAAGTGCTAGGAAGAGAGTATTTGACATTTTACTACTCCATAGTGAGAGGCAGGCTGTTCTGACAAAGAAGGAGAGTAAAAGATTAACTGTTTGATAGACCTCAACAGTATCTGTCAAAGCTTCTAAGAGCACCTGATCTGTCCAGAATCCTGGTATGTACAATCTATCCAAACACTAAGGGTTCTCTTGCAAGTAAGTCTTTCAAACAACCGATCGTGAGATTCAGATTCCCATGGATCCAACTGACTTGAAGAAAATCCTGTCATATGTTCAATCAAAAATATTTATGAGTACTCTTGAAGTCTCAGTGCATCACACAGGTGAGAGAATGCTGAGCAACAACAGTGTATCTGGCCTTCATGGAGTTTATGATTTATATAAACATATGCTGTAACAGTCTGGGTCCAATCAGAAGACAGCTATCATACAGTAATTTAAACAGGGAAAGTTTAAGTCTTATTATCTGTACTGAAGTATTATCCATTTCGGCTATGAAATATAAAGAAATATATGGTACCCTAGGGCTGAGGGAGAGCACCCAAGGAAGGACAAACTTGGAAGGGGTTCAGACTTCCTTGGAGAAGGTGTGGTTCAGCCACCAGATTGCAGACAAGTCCC